CTTTTGAAGATTTTGGAGTGTTGTGATCTAACAATATGATGGTGAATTTAACCTACTTGTGTGAGTAGTGTTCATATTGATTTCTTTACAGTTGGATCAACACACATTTAACATTTATCTATCCGAATAGGTGATTTGTGTGTGAGGTTCGCTGGATAAGAATCACTCATCTATTCACCTGGACGGTGTGAGTGTGTATAAGTGTGGTCCATTGGTTAAAATCAGGTGTCGGCAATGGGTCTGACTCTTAGTTCCCATTACGAGTAACTATTGATGACTCATTAGTGCTTTCTTCCGTATAATTGGTTACTGAATCATCAACTTCGTCTTCAACAGAATTTCAAATGACACTATCCACAATTTCTTTTAAGTTTTAGACTTCTAAACATCCATCATGTTCACCTTGGGTACTCTAAAATATAAACCACATATTTATAGCTACCTAATACTTGTTAACCAAGAAACTCCTTTTTTAATGTATTATTGACTCTTGTACTTATAAATTTCTTTCCAAATTTAATTAAGACTTTTTGCAAACAAGTCTATTTGTTCTCCAAGTACAAACTACACTTACCAAAATTTATATTTGCTAAATCATGAAAGCACTCTTTAAATTAATAAATTATTAATTTATTGATTAGTGGTCCCAACATTATTAATTTGTAGAGGTTTTACTGTATTATTGCTCCAAAATAAAAGCAAACCCCCTTAGAGCCGTACAGGATCAACAACAACTCACCCATTATCAAGCTTAAGTTTTTTGCAAATTGTGTTAATAATTTTTTTTTTTTTTTATTTTTTCTAAAATAAACACAATGTTGGGGAGATGAGACTTTATGGTCTCCTTAAGCTGGAAAATTGTAGAAGGCCTCCTCAGACCTCTACAATTCCACACACAGGCGGTCATTTAAAATTTTGAGACCAATTATGATTGGTTTCCTCCACCATTTTCTCTTGTCTAACATGATTTTTTTCTTCTTCTTTTTTCTGACTCATTTTCCATAGTTTTTTTAGCTCACTCATTTTCTTTTTTAATCTCAAATATTTCTTCTTCATTACCTCTCTTTTTTATCCTACATAGGCCAGTTTCCTTACTTAGATTCCCTATATGTTGAACTTCCTATCTTGGTTGTTTTCTCTCTTTTAACACTAGTTTTTTCAGCAAAACATTCTTTTCCCCTTTTTGTTTTAAGTCCTTCAAAATTCTTTTGGTAACAATGTTAACTGGCACAAAGACCAAAGTAACATGGTTTAGTAAATCCTCATTTAGTTCATTGTCTAAACTGAAATACTAATTACCGCACCCATTTTCATTTTACCGCACCCAAAAATGACACTCATACCCTTACTAACATAAAAAAAAAAAAGAAAAAA